CATGCTTCGATGACGCGATCATAGCGCAATCTTTCCATTGGACTGCCAAATGTGATATTGGCCTGTATGGTCTCGTTCTGCAGCCATGAAGATTGAGAAGCGTACGCTATATCGTCTGGTCTGGTCACATTTCCACTCTCTAAGTAGGTCTCACCAAGGATAGACAGCAGCAGAGTTGTTTTGCCGCTGCCACTCGGGCCGCTAACGACATTAAGACCACCTTGGGCAAAATCAAGCGTTATGTTGTTTAGGGTGAAACTGGCTGTCTTCGTCTTCCGGAACGTGGCATGATCAATGCGAAGGGGGCCAATGGGGTAATGAGGAATAGGAACTGTACTCTCAAAGTACTTGTCGAGTCGGGTCACTGACACCAACGCACTCGCGAAATTCCTGCCAAAGGCACTAGCCTGCATGATATTTCTGCGAACATTCTTGACAAGAAATATGGTCGTGAAAGCCGTTGCGGCATCAAGGCGACGTTTGGAGAGCCCCACGTGCAAGCCAAACATGACAAGTAAGGATAAGTAAGGAACAATCTGCATGACTTGGTTCAATGAAGCTTGAATCATTGAAGTCCTCCAAAGCTCCCTTTGTTCTTCGGAACGCGCATTGATGATCTTTTCAGTGATAGAGTCCTCCCAGGCGAAGTACTTGATGGCACGAAGGGACGCAAGATACTCTGTCACTAAGGACATGCGAGAATCCTGGGCTTTCCTGACTCGGCGCTGTGAGTAAAACATTAAGCGCCCAAGCCATATCGAAAGAGGTGTGGCCAAAAATAGAATCGCATTTCCTACCAGAGATGCCCAGCCCATCATTCTGTACATTCCAATGAGCGATATTATGGTACCGACGGGAGTACCAATGGTGGCCTGGATGATGTCTCTTGATCTATAGATTGCGTCTATATCGGAAGCCATGAGGTTAGCCAAACGTCCTGCTGATGTGGTCTTGGCAGCGGCCTGGCCGCTCATGCTCTTGAGTTTCGCGCCACCGGATTGTAGTTCAAAAGGATCCTCTTCCATCTCCATTGAGTCTAGGGCAGTGTAGTACAGCTCTTGAGTGAATGCAGATTTGATACGAACCACGAGTCTAGTAGATGTAAAGATGTACTGCTGGAAGGCAACGGAGCGGGATAGTGGGCCGATGAACATGAGGAACAGCCAAAGCCACGGTTTATAGATGGCACCGCTAGGATCAGCAAGATATTCGAGCAACTTGAACATGGCGAATGCGGCTATATTTTCGACCGTGTATGAGGTGGCTACCCAAAACGACATGAGAAGCAACTCGCGCTTTTGGAATCTAAGAACAGTACGGAGGGTCTTTTTCGAGACTGAACGAGCTTCTTGTACACGTCGCAAGAGGTATATAGGTTCGTCATACCAGGCTAACTTTGGAATATCAGCCATATCAAGTTTCCGCCTCATACCCTTCCAGATGATTGGGGTCAGCCAGTCATAGGTACAGTAGTAAGTGAACCAACTGCAAGTTTCCTCGGGAGCTGGCTCATTCTGGTCGTAACCGGGGATGCTGAGATCAACTTGCATTGGTGTCCATTCTCTGGGGGTAATGACTGCAATGGCAGCTCCTGCCGCAAGAGCGATGATCCCACTGGAAGTACCGGCGTCGTGAAGGCATCTTGTGCCAGTCTGGATACAGGGCAAAGTGTGCCCTGCAATGAGAAAGGTCAGAGTAGCCGGAAGGACAAAGTTGATTTGATGCAGTGCTACATGGCGCCACTCAAGATGGTTGAAGAGACGAGTGAGGCCAAGAACGAAGGCATATACAACAGACACGATGTTTATCCAATGTAGTCCATCTTGGATATAAGCAATTGTAATATATACAACAGCAGTAAGCCTTGCCATTTGTGAGGCAAGCTCATAGGGCCACCGAATTTTGGCAGCTTTAGATCGGCAACCAGATCCTTGTCGACGAATTCGGTCTAAGTGGTAGATGAGTTGCATGAGGGACAGGAAAAGCACAACGGCTTGTGGTACCCCAGATTGAGCGAACTGTGACACATGATGGATCCACGAAATCTGGGACATGGACATGGTATTCTGATATGAGCTAGAATTCTTAGTAAACTAGATTCATCATATTGAGACAGTTCTTACCTAGCCAGAGAACAAAATTGAGGTATCATGATAGATTCGTTCCCTTGATAGGGGGAGAACTCTAGTCCGCCGAAGCGGTGAATTACGATATCCATCATGGTGATGCAGACATGAAGAATCCGGGGCCAAGAAGGAAGAACAGGACAGGACAGGGCAGAGCAGAGAATAGCAGAGTATAAGCAAGAAATAAAGACTGATGCTTAAGTAAACACTGATCCACGACTCATTATCACGAATACACAAACAAAAGACGATGTTAGTGAAAGAGTCAAGATTTGGCTAGGTACCAAGTTAGCAAGCACGTTATCAATCCAAGTAGGAAGTCATGAACAAACAATGAGTGGTTGTGGGGAGTGGGCTTCGCAAGTGGAGCGCCCCATGATGGCGTGGACGCCCGAATATCGGCATCAGGGCCGCAGGGCAGGCACAACTGGACTGGATGAACTGGACGTTAGCTGCTTTGGCGGGTGAACCTCCGACGTTTTCAGTGGGCAACGGACCTGAACGCCGCTCTCACCAGCCGCCCGGCCCGTGGGGGTTTAACGCCTTTAGCTGAAAACAGGGGCACCCATGAAGCAACGACAGTTATTGGGGAGGACGGACAGGCATACAAATGGCCCTGAAAGCCTAACTTTGACCGCCTCACCATGCTACTGACCGGTTTCGGTTATCTTGCCCCCTCTGTTTCCTCATTGTCATAATAGTGTATACTGTAGATGAGAGGTGAGCAGGTGAGCCAGAGCTGTGGTGGTGTGCTGTGGTGGTACTGCATCTTGTGAATGTTATGGCCGGGTCATCTCCAGGTCCGTCGACAAATTGCTGGCCCTGATTTCAAGCCCGTCTCGGTTGTGGCAGACAAAGAGGAGATGATCACCCTGATGTTTCCATAAAGCAATGGTGACCAGAAACTCAATCCGATTGCTCGATACGTCGTCGAATCACGGTTGTGCAGCGCGAAGGTTACCTCCTCTATATGAGACCCTGAACTAGGTGGATCCTGTTTCCATATGTTGGCTTTCAGCATATGTACCTTGTTATGTCTTTTTCTCTTTCCTAAACACAGCGAACCAGCATGTACAAGTGATGAATTGAGTGGAAAAGCATGATAAAAGTGAAAAGGCAATTTCCTCGCCTCACAAACATTATTCAAGGAACTGCCCTGTTCTGCCCTGCTGCGAGATATGAGCTGCCGCTAGCAGTGAGTATAGAATCAAGTGGATAGCGATACAGACACGGCCACCACTGTAAAACGTAGCCGTAAAGCAAAATATCCAACTAGCAGACCCAAATGGCAAGTGCCCAAGGCCCAGCTTATAAACTTGGCTTTTCGTGCGAGCCGTCTTGCACAAAATCCACCCCAACTCCTCAAGGATATAAGCCATAATAACATCACTCCAACCATATCCGATCATCCCGGAATCGGAAAAACTGCTCCGGTGTGCTGGCGCAATGGTAGCGCGTAGTCCTCCTAAGACTAAGGCTCAGGGTTCGAGTCCCTGGTATACCGATTTGAGTTTTCTTTTTGAGGTTGATGGTAGAATCTAATGAGATGATTTTTTACTTTGAGGTTGAAAAAGAAGAGAAGAAGAGAGAGTATTGAGTATATTAATAAAATTTTAATTAATGATCACTTTTATAACTAATGTGTCGTACTATATATATAAGCCTTTGTGTCCTTTATTCTCATCACATGGCTCAGAACCCAAGCACACAGCTGTTGCATAATCTCCATCATGGCTTATAGACACCATTGCGGTGGTATCTTCTGCTTCTAATTCGCCGCCCCGTATACGCGCAATTGGCGGGCCACTGCCTAATACCTCGCCCTTCACCAGCCGTCGCTCAATCATGATATCGTGAAACGTCAAATGACGGTGTGGGTGTGCTTTAATGGCAGCCTCCTTCACAGCGAATCTAGACACCATTCAAGTCAGTGATTACCAATGATGGGCCCGAGAACCCCGCACCTTCCTGCTATGAAAGCAGCACATTTCCACAGCTCAGGATCCTTTGACGCGATGTGTTCATGTGGCTGGAAGCTCTCGCTTGCTTTGCTTGTGGCACGGCGTGATAAAACACTGCGCGCTGCTGCGTGGTCGAGTACATTTAATCGTGCATCTTTCTTTGCTAGCTCTTCAGGGGCCAAAACTCTGTTTACAAAGCGTAGAGCCCGCGGGCCTGACAGTATATGATAGATACGGGATATTTGGCAAATGTCGGTCCCGATGTTCAAAGGGAAAGGAAAAGGCCGCAAAGGCTTCATAGCCAGGTGTTGATCGTTGGTGGTCGCTGGCGTACCTTAGTAGCTTAAGTGAAGTTTTGGTAATGAGCCGCTAGCGTCGGCAACTTATCGATTAAGCTCCACCACTACGTCAGTGAGCATTTTGCTTTAAGCATCATGTCGATCATTGGCATAGAGCTACCAAAAGGCTGGCAACTATGTTTCGTATCGTATCAGAAGAAGCTCCAATTACTACCCTAGGGGGGGGGGAAAGAAAACCTAGGACCTTGACTTTAAGCGATGAAAATATTTGTAACTTTAGACTAAATTTAGGGGACTCTTTACTTAGTTTATTTTAATACCTTATATTAAGGTCTGATATTTTGCTCCCGAAGGCTACTCAAGTTTAGGCATATAGCCTGTAACAAATATGCATATAACGTCATATTATTTCTTTCGTTACTCCATAACACGGTTTATCGAATCATGCATGCAGAAGACCGGCTCAAGAAATACAAACAATGATCGAAGGCGACGTGAGTTGCAGAAATAGCACCGCGATGTTGGGGGAATAGTGCGAAGTTGGACAAGCAGAGAAAAGCACTGCCGCTCCCCCGGTAGTGTTTCTCTCCATGGCTTGGTACCTGAAGGTAATTTTAATTCTCTGCGAGGAGAGGGGCACGCTCCTGATCAGCAGGAGCACTGCGCCAGTTGATCTCCCGGCCAGTCGCAGCAGGAACAGCGACAACGACCGTGGCGACGAAAAGCAGAGCCATTATGACAAAGGCAAAGATCCACTGGAAGGCAATCACTTGGTGAAGGAACTGGGAAACTCCAATTGCAGCAGCAAAGACGCTCAGTGAGAAGCCCATGGTGTAGTCCTACATACTGTCAGCAAGCTATATGGTTTGACTGGAACGATCGAACAAACCTTGTAGATGGTGATAAAGAAGAGTCCATAGACAAGAATGGACCAGATAAAAATGTTCCCAAAGATGCGAGCAACAAGGTGGTCGGGGTGGGGAACCATGAGAGCACCATTCCAGTAAATGGCGACAAAAGTCCAAGCCAAAGGTCCAGACACCACAGGCGTATGAATGAATCGGGGATATGTGTTGTGGCGGAAGTAGAGCGAGGACAGGTTGATGAAGTTGAGAACGAGAATGACCTCAGCCCAGTGGAAGTGAGAGCGGACAAACAGCATGACAAAAGCGAAGTGGAAGAGGTTGTTGAAGATGAAATGGCTTCCAACGCTGGCGGCAGCGTGAACAATGTCCGAGTTGCTCGAGAATAGGTGACCAATGTAACCAGCCTGGAGAATGAAGAGAACGATCCTTGACAAGCTATCAGTATGCGAGCGTGCACGAGGGGCTGAGAATGCGCACCAGTAGATGGAAGTGATGATTGGGTTCAGCGTAAAGGCAGTGCGATACATGTGGTTCTGCTCCCAGATCTTTCTATTTCTCGTGTGCCCGTCATCGGGACGGTTGAGAGTGTAGTAGACAGTAACGACGAGGGACAAGATCCAGGTGACGAGAGTAAGAATCTTGTAGGTGAGGATCGCACTATTAGAGTGAGATTCCCTCTTACCAAAGGGATTGTCTTTGAATGGGTCAGTCGGGATGGGTAAGAAGCGGAAGACGACAAGGTAGCTTACACTGTTGCCAGTTTGCCATGATGAAGGGCTGTATTCGATGGAAAGAAAAGAAGTTCGCCGTTGAGACAAAGTTGTGTGTGGTGTCGAAGAAGTGATAGGGGGAGAATATGGAGAGGGTGGAGGGGAGAAGAAGTATTTAAACACCTAGAATTAAGGTATTTACACAGTGACCTTCTGCTACTGCACATGAGGTGTGTGGTTCACTCCCAAAGCACATTAGTTGATGTAGGTATGCGGGGAAGCAGGCCTAGGTAGGTAGCAAGGGTACCTAGGTAAGGTTAGTTGGTAGGTTCCATTGTCTTGAATGTAAGGTAGGTACCTAGGTTAGTAGGTACGAGAGGTGAGGAGTAAACAGCCACACTCTGGGATCGTCACACCACAAATGACACCAAAAGATTTAAGCTAACAAGACTTCCACCGACGTGCCTTGTTTCTACTCATATATTAGTTAGTTAGTAGGTAAGGACGCCATCTTGTATCAGGAAATGCGAGAAATAACCACTAAGCCTTCCTAAGCAAGGATTTTGTACGACCACAGCAAGATAGGCGCTCAAAGTCAGTGGAAGCTAGGTACGTACGTCAAAGGATCAGATCAACAGCAGCGGCGCATGACTTGCCTCTTCACAGCCTCTCAGGCTATATTGGATCTTGTCTTGCACAGGCGGTGCTTCTTTCATGGTGCCGTGTTAGACCATATGACCTCGTTTCAAGGGCGCTAAACTACGGATCAGCTATGAAAAGTGCCGGGAATTTAATAGAGGTCGGGCTGCCATTGGTTTTGAGGCGCTGAGACTGACGACCATCACGATTGTGGACTCTATGGGTGTGGTAGCAATGGGGAATGACAGTGGTGCCAGATGAGGTACACGCTGCAACTGTCAACGTAAGTAGTACTGTACCTATCTGTATCTAGGTAGATATCTGTACGAAGCAGGCTTTGTCCCCGGCATTTCTATGAGCTGACGTACATTTATGTTGTGATGTGAATGTCGTAATTCTGATGTAGGTACTAACCTAGGTACGATATAACTCTATAATAAAGGTTGCTGCTACCTTGTTCAGACGTAGAAGACTTGGAACAAATGCAAGTTACAGAACAACACAACCTAAGGTAGGTACCTCAGGAAGTCGAGTGGATCTTTATCCCCGAAGACAGTTCTCTGCACAGATCTGCATTTGGAAAGTGCAAGGATGACAGACGTGCAACTAGCTAATGATTGGCTGGTCGTGAATGATCCCGCTCAGATGACGACAACTTGCTCCAAGCTCCAAGCTCCTACTGCTAAACGAGCGGCTCATAGCGGGACAATGTTCTGTTTTAACCCGCTACCAACCTGGAACTTGTCACGGTCATCGTCTCCAACCTTGGGAGGGTTTGCACAAATAGAAAACTCGGTTACTGTACCTAATTATCACCGTAACATACCTAATACTATAGTAGGTACAGTCGCTCAAGTCGGTACTGCAGGTCGTATGGAGGTGAGACTCACCTTGCATTATTTCGTGTTACACTTACCCTTGCTCATCGAGATTCTTCCCACCGACAGGTACGGAGCAAACCACATATTTCCTGCTTTCTTACCTTAGGTTTCTTTCAAATGCCTCTATAAGGTAATTACCAGGTATCTATTGCCCGATGTCCTAATAAAATAAAGTGGAGGTAGTTGAGGTAGCACCTTATGCCCTAGGTTAGTAGCCAAGTCAATAGCTAAAGATGATATTGGATTCGTCTCAATCTTATCTTTCCGTTAAGACATACTCTACTAGTACTATCATTTCCCTTACTTCCATGATACCAGTCGCCGTATTTCTCGGATTCAAACAAGAACTTTTCCTTCTGCTTTGCTTTTGTTTTAGTGGTCCATCCATTTGCATGAGGGAGTAGCATCACTCTCCTGCGTCTGCATTGTTCCAATGCAAGTCTCACGGCACGTATCAAATTGTGTTTCAGTGCACCACCTTGATCGCCAATCGAATCGAGCATCAGCTACAGCTTGCAACCCACGTATGCACCCTAAGCACCCTCAGATTTGGGCGCGCAGATACGTTTGCGACCAAAGCTTCCCCCGATACGCCGATATGATTGTTGAGGGAACCCGCATCGAATCCACCACAGTTATCCCGATGGCCAAGATGATACAATACAGTACTCATGATGGTCAGGGAAGAAACACCCCAGCACAGTCAGGCCAAACTAAGCATGCCCATCATTTCAAAGGCAGCTAGCTAGCTTTGTGGTATTCTTAGCAACCATGTCCCTGCGACGCATGAGTTTTACAGCTTGGTAAAAGTGATTCAGAACTCGACCACAAAACTCGGCCAATGTGAGACAAGACCAGTACTGTATATCAAACCATTTTCTGCGTTCGCATCGAAATTAAAGAATCTGCTAAACCACTGAGCCGTCATAGCACTTCACCAGCCAGACTTCTTCCAGGTAGTTCATGCCTTCAGGTGGCTGAAATCATGACCAAATCGCGCCGAGTGACAAAATACTCTATCCCCAGCATCTTTCCACTTCTCAAAGCTCGCTTCCCGCCTGGCGCGTCTCTTCTCAATCGAATCTGGGTGATGGGACGGCATGTGCCAGTCCCTCGATGCGTCTTTGAAGTCATCTCCTAGGATCCGGTTCTCGCTCCTGTAGCTACTCCCTAGTTGCACAACCACAGAGTAATTCGTCCTGTCGTTGATGAGCCACTGATGTGATTCCTCGCTGCTTAGAGGTTTGCGGTTGGTAGTCCAAGACGATTGATGGCTATCCCGAGGATCCTGGTGAGCCCAGGCAGACTCTTTCTTCTCTCGAATACCACATTGACCAGAGACCTGGCTATCTTGAATTGGTTCGTAGACGTTGGGTATTCGTGGGTATTTGCTAGGTTCCACCCACGAGTTATAAAAATCGTCCGTCATGATGGGTTTGCGATGGTATGTTGCTGACGGTGTTTGCATAGTATCAACACAGCTGAAGACGAAAACGAAGCGTTGGTTAGTTCTGAGATTGGGGAGGGCACTCAAACGTCTTAAAGGGTTGCGGGCTTCGGGATCGTCATGTCGATAATAAAAGTCGGCAGTTCATGCAAATGAGCGCTCGCCCAAAGCTCACGCGCATTTTGCAACACCATGACCAGATTGGGGCCATATCACGCCAATATTGACCAACTGCAAGCCAGAATTAGGAACCACTTATTCGATTCCGTTCTAATATGCCAGGGCAGGCCTCAAAAAGCGGCTGTTGGGTATTGGGTGCCAGGTTGGGTGCCGTTGGGCTACAGCACATCTTAGCACATCACCTCACGTGTGAGGTTTGGAATTTCCATCTTCCTTCGAGAAGAGATAAAGAGAAAGAGACCTAGTCTCTGGTCGAGGCTGTGCTGCAGCAGTATGCTTGTCATATGGGCCTTGCTTGTTGAGAAAAGCCCCCGAGATCATCCGCCAAAGTTGGTTCGCCAGCTTAACGCATGCACAGCCATAACCATGGCCAATCAGACAGTCATATTGTGTTGCTGAAATTACAATTCGAGCAAATTACATACAATCAACTCACCCACTTGAGCCTGAAAATGATACGCAAGGCACCGGCATTCTACGTCTTTTATAAATGAGGCGCTCCCCAAGGCAATCTAGAATTACAGTCACATACCGCCAAGAGCCAGGAAAAGTGCAAAATGCTGCTGTCCTTAAAACCGACGAACAGCCCAGTCGCCATTTGCGGGCAATTCCCAATTTCACTCAGCACTCAACAACCTCTTGACTTACCTATGCGCGACTCGCAAAAGACAGAGCGAGAACAAGAGCAAGAACAAGAACCATGGAGTTTAGAGAACGATCGTTTTCACGGGGTGGGACTGATGAGAGGCTACCCAAACCTACAACACGCATGAACGACGAGACTTGGGAAAGGTTTAAGCCTTTTCTATGCAATCTTTACAAGAAATATACCCTGAGTGTCGTCATGAATGTCATGGAGAAGAAGTACGGTATTGTTCAAAGGTATCTCACCTATCAAGTACAATACCTAGAATCCTTGATGTTTGACTAACCCTTTCACCAAAAGCAAGCGACAGTATGGCTATCGTTTCGAGAAATGGGGCATAAAAAAGTACAACGCGAATGAGAAAAAGACTTCTCATAATTCTCTATCACCTAGTGGCATTAACGACTCGATGGACTATGGTGAGATTGGGGCCGAGTTCGACCGAGAGGCTCCCTCCTTCAACCAATACTCCATGTCTGACCGTTGCGGCCCAGACACTCGAATGACCGCCGTCGGATCAGAGCACATGGAGTATGACGAGTCGCTCGATATTCACAGAGCCTCAAAGGTTGTCGTTTCATATCCGTGGGCAACTGGGTCATCTGAGGAAGCGAACAAACTGGCTGCTGACTTTTGTGCCGCCATGCTCGATGACACAAACGCATTTGCCTTATATGCGAATCTCTACGAGGTCTTGTCGAATAGGAGCCAGTCTGTTCCCGAGACTCGTGAGTTTCTTGCCATCTGTTGTGCCCGTGTCGCTGGTAAACCAGACAATGCTCGTAGCGCCAGGGCGATTCTTGCCAGGGAATGGACCGGGACACCAACGACTCGAGTTTCAGACTCTCCATTTGTCCTATCGATTCTCAAAGCGTACGTGGGAAGTCACCAAGAAGATTCGGACAAGTCGGCTTTTGTCAAACAAATCAGTCGTAATGTCGAGCAACTGGTTGGCAGCGACGGATCACTTGGAGAAGTTTCACGCAAGTACTCATCTATCGACCTCGTGGCCTACTTCTTTCTTGAGTACGCCCTCGAGATATATGACGATTGTTTTGACGACTCCAACCCCCCGAACTTTATGACTGAGCACCTCCTGAACGAGTTCATCACCACTCAACCTTTTATGAACGCTCTACGCAACGACTGTCCATCCCCCCTAAGTCTCTGTCTTAGGTGGTGCAAGGAACAGCTCCGACTCAACCACCCCGTGGCTCTACAAGATGCCCCAGTACAGCCAAGTACTGATATGCGCTGTTGGTGGT